CCACGTGTTGATGTAGGAAGTAGCAATAGGAGACATCATCCCAAGAAGTCTACTAGAGGACAAATGCCTGTTAAATAATCTATGTGTTATAACTTTTTGCTGTTCATCTAATTTACCAATTTGCAGTTTTCTGCTGTTTGATTGTACGTCAAGGGCGGGCCAAAACCTATTAGCATGCCTGCATGCAAACTTTTAGTCTTTGGCCTGGAAACTTGCCTGCCAGTTCTGACAGGGGAGGGACTCTCACCTGGCTGCATGTGCCCAGCTACCTTTGCCTCATCGGGTGTGGCCTCTCTGAGCTACTGAGGGAGGAAAGCAGAGAAACACAGGGATTTGTGGGAAAAGATTCTACAAGAACACAGTAGTAAATATGGCAGATTATATATTGATATTTTTTGGATCACAGCCAGGAGGGTCTAGTAGTTGACTGGTGTGGTTCAATTTTGATTTACGAAAATGTTGACATCATAGGAATTATAGCCTTCACTAGTGCCTGAAGTTTATCCACCTCAGCAAATCCTGGTAAACTGGAAATTGATATTATTTCTTCTTAAGGCCAACATCTTCATGTTACTATAAATGTTATTGTTTAAAATTGTTTAAAGCCCCCTCTAATAAAGTGTAATTTTAGAATCTCCCGGGAAGCCTGAACCTAAGGATGTGTGACTTAGAGATGTGTAAAAGCTCTCTATACAATTTTGCAAAGTCACCTGAGCCATGTAGCTGAAGCAGCCTTTTGCAAAAGAACTATACAATTACACTTGTTTGCATTGGAGGACCTCCAATGTTTTATTATTTTTAAACATGCTTTTTGACATCAGTTGCTTTTATGATTAGTTTAGAATAATTCTGAGAGTATTATTTATTGCAGGTGTATTTTACCTGCAGCTGACCTGCATTCTCATAGACTTGTATGGGGAAAGCAGATCTGACATGAATGAAATCCTGTCCACACAGTCTTAGTAAGGTGTGAGATTATTGTATTTTATATAGACTTTAAAACTGTCCACCATAAACTCCACGAACATTAATAAAACTCAAAATCATGCATTTCTCTTCACTACAACAGTAGCCTCAGAATCCAATTTAAGGCCTCAGTAAAGTTCCAGGTTATCTGTATCACTTCACTGTGGCACAAGTGAATGCAAAACTACTTGGATAATGATGCAATTAATAAACTTTTTTCCTATATAAAAAAAAAATCAGCTTAAATACATTTTTTAAACTGTTCAAGAAAAAAGAAAATTTATTTTTCATCAGGCTTGTTACAACAACAAAAAACAAGCCTCCAGGGGGAGAAAAGTTAGTAATCTTGATCACAGCAAGCAGTCAACATTTGCCAAGGTTAGTGTACAGCCACCAAGAATTCTATGACTTTGGGTCAGGATCCTATGGTCAGGATATGATAGTTGCTGACCCTTGATTATGCCTAAACAAGGGCCTTTTAGCGTACAATAAATATGACTGCATTGTTGGGGAGAAACACATAGCATTACTTATCATGCATGTACTTAACTTAAAGGAATATCTATGAGGGTAGATCTGCTTTTAACTTTTTAAGTCATTTAACTTTTAGATTTTCCACCTTCTACCACTGGTTTAATTACATCACTCTTCTACTGTGGTTATCTCTAGTGGAGGAAAGAACATGGAAGCTTTATTTTTTTCTATTTTTTTTTTCAGTGTTTATTCCCAAGGCTTGGTAAATAGCATGCACAATAAATGTCACGAATAGCAATCAATATAACATTAATCACAGCACTCCACACTTTTAAAAGTTCATAGTCTTCCACCATTTGGCGATGAAAAGTGAACCAAATCCCAAACAGTCAGTGAGATGGGTCAAATAGCTCACAGTTTCACTCCAACTTCATCAGAGTAGCAGATTAATCAAACCTCAGGATACAACACTCACCACAATCAAATGGCTGTCATATTACTGACAGGCAAACCACACTTTTATTCGATCATCCATTTAGGTGGATCCATCCAACATTTTCCTTCCCCACAGCGGTAGTTTAAAACTCTAAAAGCTCAAGATTAGGGAACAAAGCAACACACATAGCATAATCACATTTAACAAATGTATTGCTTGTTCGTTCCCACTCACAAACATAAAAAGAATGATCGCTTATCACAATCTCAATTTGTTAGATGTCAGTCCTCCACATCACAGTAATGCATGTGGTATCTCACCACCCCCTGTAGATTCACAGACTGACGTTACTTCCTTCACATTGTTTAGCCACGTCCCTAACGTTTAGTCCCTACGACTTCTTCTGAGTTAATGGCTAAACAGCACAGCACAGCGTTCCATTATTTATAACTGACCTCCTTTTGGTATTTAACACTTTATAATCTCTTGTCCACCAATGTCCATTCTATTAACCACAGTGGTATCCAGACAGAGACATCTCTTGGTCACACATCATATTGCATCTACTTATATCCAATGAAATAAACAATTTTAAAAGATCTCAGTTAACAGACCTCCATAGAATAACCATGCTTCGAACCACACTTTGTCCCTTAATCTTTTTATAATCAATCTCTTTACATAGCAAACATTATTTAAAATTTGGGTAACATACATAATAAACTTTCATACATATAAAATTCAGTGCATTAAACTTTAAAATAAACCCCTAACATTATGAGCTCAGTACTGATATCTATTTAATAGTCGCTAATAAAACAGTTAATGTCAGTTTCAATGTTCAGGCCCTTAGGAGTTAATGTATCTGCCATATAAGTCCATTTCATTTCTCTTTTAGATAAATCCCCCTCCATATTACCGCCTCTCTACTGAGGCAAGACCCTATCTATCCCTCAAAAGTTTAAACCAGCAAGATCCCTATTATGGCACTATCTAAAATGTAGCGAAACGCTATGGTACTTGTATACTATTCCAATTTTATATATGTGTTCCACTATTCTTTTTTTAAGTTGTCTTTTTGTTCGACCCATATACATTAGCCCAGAAAGACATTCCAAAACATATACCACATGAGTGGTGTTACATGCAATAAATTCAGAGATTTTAAATTCTTTATTTGCGGAAGATGTGAAGCTGGTTATACCCCTTAATAGTTCATTTACCTATTTACAAGCATTACACTTTTGACAGGCAAAGAAACCTTTCTTATTCCAATATGTCATCTGTTTCTTAGGGGGGGTCTAAAATCTTTTTTTACCACTTTAAACCCAAAATTAGGGACTCTCCGATAAATAAAAGGTGGATTTTCTGGAAGCACTGGGCCTAACACCCTTTCCATACATAAGATGTGCCAGTGTCTCCTGAAAAAAAAAGCCTCAACCTCCCTGTGTTGTACATGGAAATCATAAATGAAGTCCCACTCTTGGCTTTTATTTGTACTGTTTGCGTTTTTTTCTCTTAAGCATTCCTCTCTTGGCACCTCCATTACCTCCTGGATTGTCCACTGTATTTGGTCACTATTTTAACCCTTCTGGACAAATCTGTCTTCTATCACTTGAGATTGGTTCACAAAATCAGATTCTAAACTGCAATTCCTTCTGACCCTCATTATTTGTCCCTTAGGGATATTTGTTAACCATAATGGATGATGACCACCCAACAAAGATAGATAACTACTCCGGTCAGTCGGCTTAAAATACACTTTGGTTAACAGTTTATCCCCCTCTCTAAAGACAGTAACATCTAGGAAGTAAATAAATGACCACAGGCACTTAGTCATCACAAACCATGACCATAAAACTATGTTGAGATGAAAATATTGTGTCTACTATACATTGCACAACCAAAGTGAAGAATTTTGAGACAGTAGTGAAATATTTCATTCTTGTGGAATTTCCAGTTTTCAAATTTCAATAAAATGAAAGTAAAATAAATTGTGAATTATTTCATTCTTGTGGAATTTCCAGTTTTCAAATTTCAATAAAATGAAAGTAAAATAATGTGTACACTTAAAGAGTAGTCACAGACAGTTTCACCCTCAATAAGATTTGTGTAAATATACCTACTACAGCAAACTGCCAGGTAGTCTTCATCCATTTCCCATTTTAATACTGATTCCTATTTTAATTCACATACAAATTAAAATTTTAGAGCATATTTGTATTTCTTCTGCAAACAAATAGTGTGCAAAAAGAAAGAAAATGGGGTTGCAGTCCTAGATGCAGTGGGTACAACTGGCATTCAAAATTGCAAAACATCATTGACCACAAACTTTTTTATAATCCAAACTCTTACAGTAGCCATTTGAAAAATGTACAAAACAACAGTGGGTTTCTTGTTTTGAGGTTGGCTGACCATTTGTTCAGCTGAGATCATCTGACCAAATGCTTTTTGGTCATAGGACCAATACCAAAAAGAGCTTGGAGCACATTTTCGCCAAGAAAGTTAAATATTTCACCCTGTTAGATATTCATTCCAGCAAGATTGTTAACATAGATTTAAGATAATTATTTGAAAATATGAACATACAGATCTGTGTGATCTGGACTGGAGGAATGAAAAAGGTGCTTTAAGAGTTATAGTATTCAAAGGTAAGATGGTCTTGTTGCCAGGTTACTCATCAGAATAGATGGTGGTAAGGAGGCATTATCCTGATTGGAAGGATAGTGTTTTATGAATAGTTTGAGAAGCAGGTTTTGATCATTGTGTGAATTTGAAAATTTTTGTGACTTGTCCATAATAAGTAGAATAATCTAGCCTGTCCCTTTTGGATTAGAACTCAATTTTTCTATGGTCAAAGTATGTCATTATATAACATCAGATTTGTAATAGCAATACAAACATTTGTTATTTTTGACAATCTATTATAAGGTTACTTAAACAAATCTCCTTTGATGTTTATGAGTGATGCCCGTCTACTGGCCATCTATTTCCAAAATTTCCTGTATTCCCTGCATGCTTTGTGTCTTCCCCTCTGTTCATGCCTTTGGTTTACTTATAAATTCTAAGGACTACATATCCCATGGTACCTTGTTGCCTGCAAGTAGTGATTCCTGTACTGACCAAGGGCGGATTGACCATTTGGAAACTTGTGCACTGCCCGAGGGCCCGGGGGCAGTGGGGGGCCCCATAAGATGCCCCTGGCACCTTTTTCATAGGCTTTTTTGAGTTTGGGCAAGGACACAGGGGCCCCATGATCCCCTATTGCCTGGGGGCCCCATGAGTTGTCAGTCCGCCCCCCGGTACTGACTCTACCTCCTGAAACTCCTCCTCTCAGCATCTCTGTAGCTCAGAAGGCAGGCCCAGTGAATTCTGTGACACAGCAGTACCTACTCACAAAGCATAATAAATACGTGTCACAGAAGGAAGTAAACAAACTTCGGTAGGCTAAAGATTCCACAGACAACACTTTAAAAGCCCCCATAGGTCATCATATATGAGTTAACTGTGAATAATGGCCCTATAATTATTGCTCTCACTCCAATGTGCATGGTGATATTTAACCAGTTCCTGCCCGGCCTATGGTAAAGGCCTATGGTAAAATGACGACGGGGCCTCCGGTAGGGTGTCATATGACGTCCTCCCAGTCACGCCCCTCGAATGAGCCCCTGATCCTTAGTCTGCCGTCCCATGAACACAGTGCTTCACTGATGCAGTTAAACAGCCTATGAAATTGATTGGCTGTTTACCATGTGATTGGCTGTGTCCTATCACAGCCCTTCACAAGTGTAAACAAATAGTGGTAACTTTCTGTTACAGCTTCTCCTCGTTTCCTGTGTGAGAAGGAGAAGGGGGAACAGTGAGTTACCGCATTCAGTACTGTGCACCACACTGCCCTGATTGCCTGTCACACTGCCCTGATTGCCTGTCACAGCTGCCCATCAGTGTACCTGTCGCCAGCCCATCAGTGTACCTGTCGCCAGCCCATCAGCGCACCTGTTACCAGCCCTTCAGCGCACCTGTTACCAGCCCATCAGCGCACCTGTTACCAGCCCATCAGCGTACCTGTTGCCAGACCATCAGCGTACCTGTCACCGGTCCATCAGTGTACCTGTTGCTAGCCCATCAGCGTACCTGTCGCCAGTCTGTTAGTGTACCTTCCAGCACAGCCCGCCAATTACCTGTCAGCACAGCCCATCATGTACATGTCATGCAGCCTGTCAGTGTACCTGTCAGTACAGTCCTTCAGCGTACTTGTCAGCACAGCCCATCACATACCTGCCAGCACAGCCCATCAGTGTACCTGTCATGATGCCTATCAGCACAGCCCATCAGTGTACCTGTCTGTCGTGCAGTCTGTCAGCACAGCTCATCAGCATACCTGTCAGCATAGCCTATTGGCGTACCTGTCAGCACAGCCCATCAGTGTACCTTTCGTGCAGCGCATGAGCATACATGTCAGTACAGGACATCAGTGTACATGTCCAGCAGCCCATCAGTGTACCTGTCAGCACATCCATCATGGAAGCCTATCAGTGTACAGGAAACCAATGTGAACAAGAGATTCACAAGAAAAAGCAGTTACATAAAGGACAATGTGATACTCAAACTTGTAATCAAAATATGCTTTTATTAGCAAAATAGTAATGTGAAACATTGAGTAAAGACCGTTGATAGCCATCACCTCAATATACGACAGTACAAAAAACGACATAAAAGCAAAAAATAAAAATAAAAAAAAAAAGACATCATGGCTAGGCCATACAATGTAATATGCTGTAGAGACAAAATTGAGCAAGTGTAACCTCTACTTTCATGGAAATAGAAGCCCAGCTGGGAAGGATACACAGTAGAAAAATAGACTAAATGTCTATATATTGGATATATTCCACATGTGAATGCCTGTATCAAGGTAGTGGTGATTAAGGCACTAAATGCAATCCAGATAGCCAACATGGCCTTACCTTTTGCATAATGGAGATGGCCACAACAGTGGGCAAGGTGTTCCAACTGTCAGTGAGGTCAGAAGGCTGATTTGTTTCGGGGACGAGTCCAATAGAGGTATTACAAGCACCACTGGTTTTGTTTCAGCCATCGGTCTACCTCACTCACATCACATCTGAACCTGTCCGAGAGGCTGGTCAGAAGCTCTGAGGAAAGGGACTCACCCCCGAAGCACATAGGCCTCCTGACTGCACTGACAGTTGGAACACCTTGCCCGCTCCATTATGCAAAAGCTTTTTATACATGCTTCGTCTGTGAGTATGTTTTTGTCTTTTATACCTTTGAATAAATCTTGGATAATGCACTAGGTGTGTGCGCCACTTATCTACTCTTTTTCTAGTGGTTGATTTCCCCGTCTGAGGAGGGCTGCACCCCTAAAGCATCATCTTTAGGTCACCTCTGTCCTGGTCCCCTTGGCTTCCCTTTGGCAATCCATTTCCTGGAGCGCTGGAGAGTACACACAATATCCAGATTGGGTTCCTGTTGGCTTTTTTGGTTATTGGGCAATACTATACATCTAGCAATACCTATTACCTTTAATGCCTCCATTTTGTATGGTTATTAAAGCCTATCAGTGTACCTGTCAGTGCATACACCAGTGCAGCCCATCAGTGTATCTGTCATCAGTGCAGCCTAATCAGTGTACTCATAACAGAGCCGCCATCACTGCCGCCCATCAGCAGTGTACCCATCACAGTTGCCTGTTATACAGCCAAGATGTCCCATATTTTTCAGCTGTAATGTCCAGGTCACGCTATGACATGATAATGCGCTTCCTGCATGTCAGTGATAATTCCCAGTGCCCTCCCTGAGATCAGCCTGGCTATGACAAACTCTATAAAATTTGCCCGCTAATTAATTTTTTTTTCTAAAATAGTTTCTGAACTTTATGTCCCTGACCAAAATATCTGTGTGGACGAATCTCTTGTCCACTTCACTGGCCGGCTTGGAATCAAGCAATACATTCCCAGTAAAAGGGACAGGTATGGACTGAAGCTCAACAAGTTCTGTAAAAGTGCCATGGGATATGTGGCATCACATCTTCCTAGACAATTATTACACAAGCCTGCCCCTTTTATGCCACCTGTACCTTGAGAAAACGATGGCCTGTGGTACCACCCGAACAAACAGGAAAGGATTCCCACAAAATTTAGTGAACACAAGGCTACAAAGGTAGGAATCTACAAGTCGGGGGAATCTGCAAGTCTGAGGAATGAGGAAGTGTTGGCCGTGAAGTGGAGGGATAGGAGAGATGTTTACACCCTGTCCACCATCCATAATGACACCATGGTGAAAATTCACGGAAGACGAGATTCCATCCAAAAGCCAAAGTGTATCTACAATTATAATCGATTCATGGGGGAGGGGGGATTTAAACGATCAGATGCTGCAGCCCTATTTATCAACAAGGACATCGCTCTTCTGGTATAAAAAAAAGTTGCAATATACTTTTTCCACATGGCCATTTTTAATGCATACTGTACATCACCTATCAAAACTCAATGGAAAGACTTACCACCTTCCTCAAATTTATAGAAAATATCGTCACTGCCCTAATCTATCAGCAGGGATCTCCACCACAAAGCATTTGCTCCAATTGTGTCAGCAGACTTCATGAACGCCATTTCCCTGAGAACATTCCACGATCAGAAACAGGAAGAAGACGCCAAAAAAATGTAGTGTATGCAACAGAGGGGGAGTTAGGAGAGACACCAGTTTTCATTGTCCCCAGTGTTCCTCCCAACCAGGCCTATGCATCGGAGACTGCTTCCGATGTTATCACACGTTAGTAAAATATTAGTTCCCCATATTTTTAACAGCCTGAAATTTCCCCATTTTTATTATCTGTGCTGATCTTTTGCCTGCTGCCTTGATTGACCATGCCTCTGCCTTCCACCTTAACTGACCCTTGCCTGTTTACCAACAATGCCTCTGCTTGCCATCTGAATTGTTTCTAAATCACATTTGTGCCTTCCACCAGAACTGACCCTTGCCTGTTTATCGACTATGCTTCTGCCTGCCATCTGGATTATTAACCACGTTTATGCCTTCTTCCTGGACTGACCTCGGCCTGTTAAATCGACAGTGTTTTTTGCCTACCGCTTGGCTTGATCTTTTGCCCTGCTACTGCAGTAGTGGGATTCAAGATAACACAGGGGTCTCACATATGCGAGGGGCTTCAGAGTAGAGAAAAAAACAGTTTTTGGTTTTCTCTGGGTTTTGTAGTTCCCAAAAAAGGGTCTGTTTGTCCGGAGGCTTCAAAGAGATTGGGTGGGACAAAGCCTCTACCCCTGTGCCCCGGTCCTACCTGACCAAGGCCCTAAGCATGATGTTCTTGCCTGCTGCCTGGACCATACTTTGGCTGTGCTGATCATATCTCTGCCTGCTACCTGTATTGACCCAGGACTTTTTATGAACCATGTTCCTGCCTGTTGCCTGGAACAATACTTTGGCTGTGCTGACCATATCTCCTCTTGCTACCTGTACTGACCCAAGACTTTTTCAGACCATGTTCCTCCCTGCTGCTTCGACCTATACTTTGGCTGTGCTGAAACTTTCACACACACTAAATAATATACAGTACTGAAGAAAAATTACTTATTTGCAAAATTGTATAAGAAAATTATACAATTAGAACATTTTCGGTCTTTTTTTGTTTATAGTGCAAAAAAAAAAAAAAAAACCCAGTGGTAATTAATTACTACCAAAGGAAAGGTCTATTTGTCTGAAAAAAATGATAAAAATGTAATATGGGTACCGTGTTGCATGACCGCGCAATTGTCATTCAAAGTGTGACAGCATTGAAAGCACTTCCTGTATGGAAGTGGTTAATATGTGTAGTGCCATTGATGTTTTCGAATATAGGTGCCCCTCAATGCATATGTTTGCAGGAGGGCAAGCACAACATTTTGGGGGGGTTAAGTGTTTGGATGTAACTTAATTTTTTTTTTTTTGGTTAGTAAACTTTTTTCCACATTAGGGAAAAGTCTCTCTCTTCTTCTTTTTTGTCTCTCTCTCTCTCTCACACACACACACACACACACACACACACACACACACACACACACACACACACACACACATTTGGGGATCAAATACTAATTTTACTCACTGAACTGCATTTCAATTTATAACATTTGTATCATGTGTTCTTTCTGGATTTTTGGTTGCTATTCTGTCTCTAGCATTTAAAATACACCTATGATAAAAAGTATAGATCCTTCATTTTTTTGTAAGTGGGCAAACTTACAAAATCAGCAGGGGTTAAAATAATTATTCCCCATTTTATATATGTAATCAGCAGTGAGAGCATAACACCAACATTCCAAATGCACTTCTAGACAGATACCTGTTAGTTTGACAGGAGTTAAATAAATTCTGTATAAAA